TAACACATAGCTTTAATATACGTAATAGAACTACACAGAAGCCCATATGTCTTCAAGATATACCAGAGAAGATCATGGGAAACTCGATCAAAAGCTAGACTCTGGTCAAAAGAAAAGAATATGGACGTAATATTTTTCTCCTATATACAATGAAACAAATTCCTCATAAGAACTACGTTTTGTTTTATACTGTGGCTCGGTACTCTGCAGGACTTAGGTTATCCTTGACATAATCTTCTCCAACCATAAACTTAAAACTGTTATAACTGTATAGGTTACACGTGCTGCTAACTCATTGACCTTATCAGCATTTGTAAAGCAAAGAAGGATATGCCTGGTCCCTGGGGCCTCTGAACTGGTCATTTGGCCCATGAGTCGTATCAGATGACATTCAGGTTGAATATACCTAGAACCAATCTGTTTCAAAGTATTCATACCATTTACACAATAGGGGTCGTTGACCAATATACAGTTCAGAATGCTGATTATACGTCTTTTCTAAACTTATGTCAACTGATCAGTGAGTATCGAATGTACTTTAAATCTGAATTAACGTCAAGAAACGATGAAATAAGAATGGTTTGGTTTAAAATGTATGATGTTTTGAGATGTATTTTACTCACATAGTAATCTTACGGGAATATCAAGAATAAGCAGCATTAATGATATTAATTTATTCTTGTTGCATATTCAGCCGAAAACTGTTTAGAATACTAAAGAAAAAAATGGGAAGCCCAGTATATCATTCGACTTAATACTTGTCAGTGAGTTATACCGGGTTAGGGGAATTCCACTCCTCGTCACGATCGAATAAAAACATTTCAAAACACCATACATATAATATACCCTTCATACTGTATGAAGTCTAATCGTATTCTTTCTAGCTGCACCTGGAATTCCCCTAAGTCGGCATAACTCAGTGACAAGTGGTAAATAGAATGATGGATTAGGCTTCACATTAATAAACAAAATCTCACTGTTTACATAAATTTTCTGTTTTTATTGAATATTCAAGTAAAATAGCATTCATTTACTAAAACAAATTACTCATTAAGTGGTCAAATATTCCGGGTAAAAACTACATAAAAATAAATGTAATAAGTTGTAACTTCTTTGCTCTTTTCTTTACTATATCCAGATAAGAACTTTCGTTTGTAAATGAAATAATACTATTCGATGACGAGGAACCCACTTTGAGACTAATAATGGCTGGAGACGGCTTGAATGGGTAATGAAGAAAAACTTT